CATGCTGTTGGTTAACCTTTTAGATTTCATTTACTCCTGATATGACCAATTAGGATGTTAAAATATTTTGTGATCTATGACTTTTGACCGTCATATAGTGAAGCGATGAAGTTAATCACAAAATCTTGATAGAATAAACATATTCTAGTTAGAGTTTTGTAACCTAGATAGGATATCAGAAAAATTCTGACATATTCTAGTTAGAGTTTTGTAACCTAGATAGGATATCAGAAAAATTCTTGGAAACACCATGGGGTTAAGTGAAATTAAACTTTATGATTTTCTGATTCTTCTTATAATCTAGACATAAGCTTAAGAAGAAAATTTAACTTTGGTTGACAACTATCACGTAAGAAAATATTTAAGGAAACTACAAAACCCCACAATACTCGAGTCATAGAGGCACGAGCCTCATCTCTCCTGAAGAATGCTAGGCTTCTTTCAGCTTTTGGTTTTTTATTTTCTGAGATTATAGTTTATTTTCTATTTGTTGATTAGGATTTTAAGAATTCAACCTTGTGTTGCTGTGATCACGTCAAGCTAGGTTTGCAAAATTAGTAAACTAGAAATTTTTATGTCAGAATAATTGTTAGTCATTTTCTCATGAGATCGATACATGAACTCTGATACCACTTATTACTTGACACATTTACTTGTATGATTGACCGATTTGCATCGTAATAATTTTTCAGCCAACAAGTTTTTGGTGCGATTAGTGGAGAAATATGCCAATAATCATTATGGTTTTAGAACTTTAGTCGATAAACTTATAATTTAGGTTTGAAAATTTTTAATTTTATGTTTATTTTGCTATTTTTCCTATTGTTTGTTGTCATTAGTTATTGTTTGCACTTGCATTGTTGTTCTGTGTTTCCTTGCAGGTGCTAAAAAAATAAAAAACTAGAAAAAAATATAAAAGCCAAAAACCCTACTCTGCGTGAGTCTGCTTTTCTTACTTTTGCATGTGTTGTTTGTGTTGCATGTTTTCATGCTGACAGGCACTTGTGGGTCTTTGTGATTGTGCGTTTGTTTGGAGTCTGTCGAATCTGCCTTTAGGATCACGTTCTCACTATCTTAGTTTATGCAAAGGGGTGTTGAATTTGACTTTGCCCCTTTTAACTCTGAAATTGACCGAACCTTGCACACTTTAGGAGAGCACATTCACTCTCTGACACACCCATATAAATGGCTAACCCTCGAGACCATGCCACGAAGCCACTTAGGGATTATGCCAACCCTTATGTTGAGGAAATTTACATGAATGTTGACTACCTAACTGTAGAGGTCAATAACTTTGAGTTGTACTGCCATTATCCAAATGATTCAGAATAGTAAGTTTGGGGGACTACTTACTAGGACCCAAATATTCAATTGTTCAATTTTCTTGAACTATGTTTCACTTTCCAATATGAAGGTAGACTTAGAGTCTGTTTGTGCCAGCCGCAGGTTATTTATAATCAGTTGCGCAATTGCTGTCTCAGGAAGCTGGCTGTTTATTTTTATTTTTTGTAGTTTTGCAATAGCTGTACTGTAGCTATTTTTGAACAAATGAGCTTTCTGCCCCTGTAGCATAGTGCTGTTTCAAACATAACCAATCCTGCTAGTATATTTCATATTTGAAAGCAAATATCTAGTTTGAATATTACAAAATAAAAACAGGTACCTCACAAAACAGTGAATAACATAACAATCAAAATTAAAAAAAGACAATTAAAATAATAATTATAAATATGATAATATTATTTTTAAAATGCAGTTTGTTAATGTTACGAGATAATTCTTCCTTCAATGAAACCCTTTGCACTTGATCAGTATCGACAGTGGAGTCCTTGAATCAATTCGCCTACCTAAATAAGTCATAGTTCTCTATTTTTCTCCTTAGACATCTGTAAAACTGTCTCCTCGCGAAGTAAACAAGGAACATTGTAGTCCACAGTAGCAGTACAATATTTTAGAGGTACCAGAAGTCGCCGAGCTCATCTTTTCTGAAGGTTTAAAATCACAAAACACAAATCTTTAGATGTAATATTAATAATAAAAAATATTAGAAGTAATCAATTTAAGTTTTATGAACCTATGAGATCTGAGAGAATAAAGTATAAATCAATGAATCAGTCATTACAACAAGACAATAGAACTTATAAAAAAAATTATTGGTTTCCTTTAAATCACGTAATATCAAATTTGTATGTGTCACATATGCATATCACAAAAAAAAAATCATGTAGAAGAATCTCAAAAACCGTAGGACTGAAAGAAAAGAGGAACTTGGTTGCGTTCATTGAGATTTCATACGTGTCAAGAACCAATAACAACATATAGGCAATCCAGAAGAACCCATAAGGTCGAATATCTCATCATAGACCTCCAAAATAAAAAAAAATAAAAAATTTATATGTCATATTATACCCACGGTTGCCTCACAGGCCATCCGAGTGGGAAGAAATACATGCAAAAGAACTGCAAATAAAAGATTCCCTATGTTGAGATTCAAAATGAACATCATTGCATAGACAATCAATGGAATAAACATTAAACATTTTCCCGATTTGACCTCCTTAAGATAGAGATCATAGAATATTAATGTTATCTCCCTGGTAGCAGACGAACCAATTTTTTTTTGTCTTGCCCATTACGACAACTAGCATGCAAAGAATTAGGCAACCTAAAATCCTGGGAGATACAAAAAAAAAAAAAAAAAAACATAAACATCTGAAATCTATATCCTCACCATCACACATTAATCATCTACCACAACCATATAAGCAATACCGACACACTAACACCACCACATCAGCACCAACACACTACCACTTTCTCATCACCAACACTATCACCATCATACCATTACCACCACCCACTCAACCACCAAGAACACCACAACCACCAACAAAACCACACAACCACCACCACACCACACAACCAACACCACCATCACGAAAAACCCATTACCACCATACCATCATATCCACACAACGCCAACAACACACCACACCATTACTACCACGCCAACACCAAACCAACATCACTACCACCATATGACCACAACCACCACCAACACCACAATACTAACAACACCACCACTACCATAACATTGTGACCACCATATCTCGGCTAACCACCAACAACCGTCACAAAATTTTGAGCAGCCACAAACTACCATAATAACACAACCACTATTTCGGGCAACCAACAAAATCACAACACAACCACCATATTTCCGGTAAACACTAACATAATCGCAAAGAATTAGTAAGTTACAATACTTCTTTGACATTTAAGTTGCACATAGTTGACCTGGAATGTTTATATAACGATAAAATTCTATAGCACTCACTGAAAAAAAAAAAAAGGATGCAAATATTTTGAGAGCCTGATAGAATTTAATCGTAAATTTGTAGGTGCTCCCAAAAATATAACCATAACAAATTTCATATCAAAGTTTGATTGGAAGACATATCTATTTATCACATAGCAATCATGGCATTGTTCATGCTATTAGCATAGTATGTCAATTTATGAACAATTCTAAGAGTCAAAACTTAATCTTTAATATTTGAACAAAACCTTAGATAGTGAAATTCCATTTACACATGGGAAGGATCAAACCCATGAAGCATGCATAGATGATCATGCTAGTTTTATAGTTGGTAGGAAGTCGATGCTAGAATGTTGCATATTTTTGGAAGACAATCTTGTAATTTGGATATGTAAAAAAAATAAAATGTGATGCATGATCTAGCGCAGAAGTCATTTAAATTATGGTAACTGGAAATTGCAAATTGTTATGAAAAAGTTGAATGAAAAGATCTTATGAGGCTCTATTATGATAACAAATTTACTATCAATATTGCACTTAATTTCATGCATCATAGTCCTTGAAAGCATATTGAAGTTGATAAACACTTTATAAAGAATCTCACAACAGTCTAATTTATATTTGCCTTTATAAGCGGTAAAAATAACTTGTTGCATTCTCACCGAAGGGTTATTAGAGGCAGTCTTTTAAAAGGTATTGGGCAAGCTTGAAATGGATGACATTCATTCATTCTCTTAAGATAAAATGTTAATCGTTTGTATAATTTTGCAAATAAGATTCACACTTGCTAAAATTTATACCCTTTTTCCTTTCTTTTTTGTTGCAATCTCATTGATTTTTTGGGTCTCTATGGCACACTCATCAATTCGTAGGCTATAGTAATTTTTATTCACCGATTTTTTAATGTTTTTTTTATTAGAAGCTCTGATAGAACTGTATAACTATTATAAGTAAAACATAACTAATCCTCTCTAATTCATGTCAAAATGATTCTGAGAAGTTTCTAATTATTTTTTAGTGTTTGATTTAGGCCTTTTTGGACACAAATTCTAGGTATCTTTGGTTTTGACTTGTTGTGTATCTCGGCCATTTGACTATGTCTTTGTAGAAAATTAGGTTAAGTTAAATTTATAATTAATGTCTATAGTTTTTGACCTGATTACTTGGGGTGCTTGGAAATCTAAAAAATTTGTCAATATGCATGCTTAATCACTTGATTTGATGACTTGTTTGGCAAAATATCAAGTATATCTTCAAGGTTTAATTTTATTTTCGTTAGAATAGTTTTGTGCTTATATTTGGGTTTTTCTTGTGCTCTTTTTGCATCTATGTACTAGTAACCACTTATTCTATCGTATGTATGAAATATATTTATTGATCATGTCATGTATGCATGAGTTTCCACTTACCCTACCATCCATTTTTTATTTACTGATGCATCCAAGATGCATATTTACTCCTTTTCTTGTTTTTTGCACTATGTTTTAATTTAAATTTTGAACGAATGTTCTTGATAGTTGACAGCATCTTAAATATGTATCCAGGAGGAATATGTAGATTTTATGTCCACTTTATATGAAATACTTGTTTTTTATTACCTAATTTTGCTTGTCATGTCTAGGTTTTGTGCATTCTTATTATTTGTTTAAGGGTTTCCATCATGCTAATGTTTGTTTGTTAGGCTGGAATTTCAAGGGTTGTAGTGGGAATTAGACATCCTCTTGGACATCTACGAGGCAAGGCAATCAATTTTTTCAGAAATGAAGGAGTCCGAGTTGATGTTGTTGGGGAGGATCTGCCTTGCAAGAAAATGGAGGTTGTCTTTTCCAAGTTAAGATTATATTACACATCAAGTAGATTTCATTTTCTATATAACTGGCAATCTCTCCATGCATCTCTTTTTATCTTTATGTTATCCTTGCATTGGTTAAAGTCCATTAGAGCTTTCTATCATTAGATCATGATCTACGATATCTATCAAGAAATATTAGCTTTGTTATTATTCAAGTAAAGTGCCATTCTTTTCATACCATTGCTTTAACTGATTATTTAATTTGTGGCAAATTTCACTTGTAACTTTTCTTTAAGTACGTATAAAAAATGTTTTTTGAATGATATTCAACTTTGTTTTGTGGGATGGTTCCAGTAACATTTTCTCATGTAGTTTGGACCTTTGTCATCTTCTAATGATATTGAGGTTCATGTTTTCAGAAGGCTTTGAGGTCCTGCCTCCTAGTAAATGCTCCTCTACTCTACAGAGCTGCATTTCATGTTCCCTTTTCTGTACTCAAATATGCAATGACCTTGGATGGTAAAATCATCGTAATTGATTTTTTTTCGTAGAGCGCTCTCTCTAGATTTTATTTCTCGTGTTGTGGCAAACTTGTATGCTACTTTGTGTGGGTGATGATGGGAAAGAATAGTTGATAGATGGTGGTTTTCATATTTGGATATCAGGGAAAATTGCAGCAATTAGTGGAGACGCCTCTTGGGTAAGCAGCCGACTTTCTAGAGGTCGAGTTTTTGAGCTAAGGGGCAGAAGTGATGCTATTGTTGTAGGAGGGAATACTGTTCGACAGGATGGTATCTGAATTTGCTGATTTTGTATTGCTTTGCCTTTGAAATTTGGATGTCTCATTCTTCATTATGAATTTAATTCTTGTTTCCTCGTGACAGATCCAAGACTTACTGCAAGGCATGGTGGTGGCCATGTACCTGTTCGAATAGTAATGTCAAAGAGTTTGAATCTTCCTGAAGAGGCGAACCTATGGAATACTCGCGATGCATATACTATTATTGCTACACAAAGAGGAGCTAGGAAAGACATTCAGGAAAAGCTCGCTAAAAAAGGAGTTGAAGTAGTGGAATTTGACATGCTGAACCCCAGAGATGTTATGGAATATTGTTGTAGTCGTGGATGCTTATCAGTACTTTGGGAATGTGGCGGGGAACTTGCTGCGGCAGCAATTGGCTGTGGTGTAATTCACAAGGTATAGTCTAACTGAGCTTCCACAGATACAACTTCTTATTGACCCCATTTGTATAGTCTGACATCATTGATTGCCTTTTTTCTTGGATAAGCTGCATGAATTATTTGTGATTCCAACATCTTTTGTGACTTAAAATTGCTGCTTTGCACTATTGATGGTTAAGTGCCTGTTTGGGGCAGCTTATAGGATGCGTCGGCATTTTCAGAACACCGCCTCCCCGTTTGAAAATCGCGATGGCTCTGGATTTTTGGTGCCGCGGCGTTTTATTATAGTGATTTTCTTCGTATCTTCGCAAACCGGATATCCCCCGCGTCCCGCGTTGAGTTTGCGATTAGGGAAGAATTCCTGTGCTGGCCCGCGTATCTCCCTCGTCCTCCCTTGGAGAATCGCCGCCTCGCCTCGCAGATCCCTCAGCTCGCTCTAGGAGAATTGTCGCAGATCTCCCTTGATCGGGAGAATCGCCGCCTCGTTCGGCTCGTAAAGAGGAGAATCACAGATCTCCCTCGATCTCCTCCGCTGATTCGCAGGGAGAATCGCAGATCCCTCGCCTCGCCTCGCAAATCTCCCTCGGCTCGCCCTTTCGAGGAAAATTGATCTCCTCCGCTCCTCTGCTCCTTCGGTTTGCCCTTCCAGAATTGGTGCAAAGTATACCCGATATCCCTCTCTTTCCTTCGCGCGAGCCTAGCATTTTGATTTTACTTTCTGATTCGTTTCCCCTGTTATCCTTGAAGTTCGTCTTTTCTGATTCGTTTCCCTTGTAATCCTTGCTGTAGAAGATGTAAATTTCTCTTTAGTGGAGAATGATTTAGCTTCTTTGTGAAATTCATTTATCTTTAAGTAAAACTAAAGATTCTTTCCAATATCTTCCACTACTTGTAGTTAAAGGCTAACATCAATTCCATGTATATTTGCAACAAGGAGTAATTGGATTAAAATTAGAAACGGGTGTAACTATTTTATAATTTGTTATGCTCATTCGCTCTTTATATATTTGGAATTTAGTTGGAAATAAATCTATTCCCTTCAAACAAATTTAGCAAGTTATCTATTTTTTATTTCTAACCTCTGTCAAAAGAAGGTAGATACTTGAATGCTTCAAAAACACCACTTTTGAACATAAATTATATGCTTTTATGCTTTAATTTTTAAGAATAACAGTAGTACTGCATGCTAGAAATCACCTTTAAAGCATAGTTCGTTTACTATAGACACTCTCGAATAATTGGTTTGGTGATTCGTACTCCTTTGGAGTTGTAGCAGAGTTGCTAGCCAGTTTCTATAGTGTGCATAAGAGTCACTATTTTTTACTAGTGCTAGATTGGGTTCATGCAATATTTTTTGCATCTTTTCTATCATTATTTAGGATTAGTCTCATATGGCACCTGGGCTTAGCAACAATTCTTGTATGTTGGTTCTCTTCTCATGATTTTAATGACTACATATAAGAATTGTTTTAAAATGGTTATAACCTATAAGAAATTTGCATCATGTTTATAATTTTTTGTTGACTAACAATATTTACTTGGTACCTATATTTTAAGCTCCTTATAGTGCCAACATGTCTAAGGCGAATGAAGGGGGTCCGTCTGCTGTATGAAATAAAGAAGTAACAAATATTTTATGCGATCTATGTATTAAAGAAATAGAACTAGGAAATAAACCAACTACTTATTTTAACAAGAAAGGTTGACAAAATATTAAATATTGCGAAGAGGTTTAAAGAGGTTTAAAGAATTGACTGACAGAGATTACGACAGACTAAAATTAAAAAACAAATGGGACCAATTGAAGAAGGAATGAAAATTTTGGAAAGAGCTCAAACGTGGATGTACCGGTTTAGGTTTGGATCCCATTAAGCAGACAATTGATGCCCCGGAGGAATGGTGGGCTGAGAAATTGGAGGTAATAAACCCACTTTTATTCTTTTGTTTTGATTAACATTACTTATTTTTTTCTCTAATAAACCACTTAACCCCTACCCCCATTACAATGTCACAGACAATACCGTCAGCGAAGAAATATGAGCAGTGTGAAATTGACCCGGACTTTGAAGAAAAACTCGACATTATGTTTAAAGGGGTTGTCGCGACGGGAAAATTTGCATTCAACCCTAGTGAAATGAGTTTTGCAGGCTTACCAGATGACTTCCCATCTGAGCCGTTGACAGCTGATGAAGAAGTGTGTAGTAGCCAGAGGGAGATGAGGGAGTCCAGTTCACCTTCAAAGAGGCCCATAATTGGTAGGAGATAAAGAAAATGACACCTTTGTGAAAACCTCATTTGATCGACTCATTGAAGCTTTTGGTACTCCACCACCTGCTCCAGTCCCTGACAGCACCATCTTTGAATGTCTAGGAATTTTAGCCTCTCTACCTGAAGTAGTTGCAGACAGTCTTTTTCATGCAAAGTGTGTCAAGAAACTCGAGGATCCATGTAGGCACATATTCATGGTGCTGCAGTCAGAATTGCACGTCGAATATTTGCGTGTTTTGGTTGAGGAATGAATTTTTTTTTTGTATTTGATGTTATTTGTAGCTTTTGTTATGTTATGGACATCTAAATGTGTAATTTTAATATTTTTTCCTTTTTATGGATCTTTTTTTTTATTAATGTTTGTCAATAAGTTGATATATATATATATTTTAATTCACTTATAATTATTGTAGCTAACTTTAATCCAGAATCCACACTAGGGGAAGTATTTTTTCTTTATTTCTTGTGCATTAGGCGTGCATTGTAGCTTATAAATGGGATGACGTTTCATTCCTTGCTTTGACATTAGTACTGTTTCTGTTTATTTTCTTTTAGCTGCTATTTTTACTCCCCATCCATTTTAACGAATTTTGCAGTTCAGAAGATTTTGTTGTTTATTAAGATTTTTCCATTGTAGAATCCTCTTACTTTTCGAAGGTGTTTAAGTTTATGATGGTTTGCAAGCTACTAGAAATATTATCAGGATGATATGATTTTCGAGCTCTTTTTTATATTTATTTGAGGGTGCATTTAGCGTTGAAGCATAATACATTGCATGTGAGCCTAAGCACCAACCGTATGAATATCGAGCATATGATACTATTTACTTTTTATTGGTGTATTTCCGTGAAACGGAGCCAAAATAGCTGAAATAGGAGTGGTCATGATTAGGATATGATAAATGTAGTTACAGATTTCTCCAATTTGTTTATATTGTCATTATTTAGATGTTAATAAGGATTTATTTTTATGATATTTTTTTAGCTTTCACCTGTTTTAGTGGTTCTTTGAGCAGCTGCCATGTCATTTTACCTTAAGTTGTGATGCAATATTATAAAACAATGCAAAGTAGATGGAAAATTTTGTTATATTATTCAATTCATCAATGATGATAAAATGCAAGATTTCCTTTTGAATTATATGCTATTCATTTTATACTTTATAAATATTTATTTATATATCCTTTTGAATTATATGCTATTAATTATATTCTTTCTCCTGGTTTTTCTTACTTCTAATGAACATTCACTTCAAGTGTTTCATGTCTTTCTTGCTTATTTCTCGTTCCTACTATGTATTAATAATTGCTGAAATAACTGACATCTTTTGAATTTAGAATGGATCCGCAGCAGGAACGCTGTAAAAGAATGACATGGGCTGCAGCTATTGCAATATTGTTGTTAGAGTATTACCGATCCAGCAATGTTCGTATGCCCCGTATGACATCCAATTTTATTGAGGATAAATTGGTAGGTGAGATGCTTTCTGGACATCCAATAACATTTAACAACATATTTCGAATGAGTGTACCAATTTTTATAGATCTCCTGCACGAGTTATCTATTAATCACGACCTCCAAAGTTCTTCTAGAACGGCGGCAAGGGAGGTGTTGGCTATAACCCTATACATTGTCACATAATGAATCTATTAGATGTGCTATGGAGAGATTTCAGCATTCATCGGAAACAATAAGTCGTTACTTCTCCGAAGACATACATGCACCTGTTAGCTTGGTAGCTCAAATCGTTAAACCAAAGTATCCATCATTTGCTAGTACTCCAGGGAAAATTGTCAACGATCCCCATTACATGCCTTATTTCAAAGTAACTATTAATTTCTTTACATTACTTCTGAAATTCTACTTTTTTCTAACGTTTTAAAATAGAACTGCATAGGTGCAATTGACGACACTCACGTAGATGCCCGATTACCCAACCAGGACAAGGTGGCGTACATTGGTCGTAGTGGTTTAACTACTCAAAATGCATTGACGGTATGTGACTTTAACATGTGTTTCACTTTTGTCATGGCGGGCTGGGAAATGAGTGCACATGACAGTCAGATTTTCTTCTATGTAACTAGGAATAGATCACAGTGTTTTCTTCACCCGCCTTGAGGTATGATTTGATTTGTAGATGTAATTTTTGTATGTATTATTTGTCATTTACAGTGTATTTCATAACAGGGAATTACTATTTGGTTAATGTTGGATATCCTATGCAAAGGAGCTACCTGAAGCCATATCCAGACACTAGATATTAAATTCCTGATTTTGAGCGAGTAAGTGACACCATCCGTGACAGGAAAGAAATGTTTAACAAACGTCACTCCTCTTTATGCGGGGTAATTGAAAGAACGTTTGGTGTTTGAAAGAAGAAATGGGTCATCTTACGTGATATGCCGTCGTATCCATTTCAAAAGCAGGTGCATTTTGTGGTGACAACAATAACACTTCATAACTTCATTCGACGACATCCTTCACGTTCAGATACGAACTTTAGTATGGTTGGTAACGATGAATTCAATGTCTTTGAAGAACCATCAGCCTTTGTGGTGGGCTTTCAGTCCATGAGGATGAGATTAATTCTAATGAATTTGGGGTTCATGACGTTGAGGGTGTGACTGAGATGACTGCTTTGAGGGAGTCAATCGCAGATGCTATCTATGACAGCTGATCCACCAAATCTTTATTTCGTACACTATATGTGTATTTTTTTTATTTTTTCTGATACTCACGAGAGTGTGAGTACTGTATGTTATCTTTTGAATTGATCTGTGATGATTTCTGGGTTTATATTATATACTTTTATTCTAATTTCAGTTCTGTTGCAAACAGCTTAACCAAACTGGGGCAGGATGGTCATTTATCCAACAATAACTCTCAGTAAGCTGTTTTGAATAAGCTAAATAAGCTACCTTGATTATTTATAATCTGCTGATAAGCAGATTATTCTGATAATCTGCAGATTATCAGAATAATCTGCTTATCAGCAGATTATAAATAATCAACAGCTGCTATAAACAGACCCTAAGTTTACTGCGATAGCATATTAAGAGATGTTTTGCTTTTTCTTTTGTGCTTGTTTGCAGCCACATCATTATGAACATTTATGATGGTTTATAGCTACAAAAACATTGAGTCTTAGTTCAAAATATGAGATAAATTTTGGCAGGTATTACAATCATAATTTTGTAGGTATATTTTGGGAAAGTTAGTAGCCGAATTTGACCAGCCTAGCAAGACAGCTCGACAAATACAACTCAACAAAGTCACACAACTAAATTCTGCTGATTTAATTCTACAAAAGTTAAATAGTGGCTTAACCACATGTCAAGTAATTTGCCTCGTGTAATTCGACAAATTAGTTCAATGAGTTAATTCGTCAAGTCAAAATGACTCTATCAACTCTTCTTATAGCTTAACTCTCCTACCTAATATGACGTGCTACCCACATAGCCATATAATAATATTATTATTATAACACACACACACACACACACACACACACACACACACACACACACACACACACA